GCCCGTTTTGAACTGAATTTGAATGGTGGCTTGTTTTGAGCTATACGCTTACACTGCTTATGGCTGCACGCCGCCCAGAGTGACCGTTGGTCAGATGGGCAGTCTGGAAGTTTAATAAATAAATAAACCCCTTCCTCATGGCAGGGATCCAAATCAGAGCAGTTGCCCAATTTTCTCTTCAATGCTTCCAGTGCTAGAGCGCTCAACACCTCCTGAGGTAAATGCTTCCATCATCGTACTACTCTAACAGTAGGTTTCTGGTTCCATTGTCGTACTGCTCTAACAGATAAGAAGTTTTTCCTGATATTCAACCTAAATCTGGCTTCCTGTAACTTGAGCCCATTATTAAGCGTCCTGCACTCTGGGATGATCGAGAACAGATCCTGCTCCTCCTCAGTAGGACTATATGTCACGGATTTGAAAAAAGTGCTATCCTATCTCCCCTCAAGTCTTCTGGCAGGACAATTCTGGTTTGGGGAAAGTAATCCCTTTTGGGGGGCTGGGGGGGACACGGCAGTTGTTCCCCAGTGGAAAGGGCAGGGTTACATCTGTGAAAGCTACTGGGCCATTAGGAAACCTCCGGGACAGGGTGGCAAAGAACGGGCCCCTTTTGGCTTCCAAAGATACACCCAGTCCAGCTGCAGCTTCTCCGCTGGGAGTTCCATGCGCAGCTCCTCGTAGTTGGGAAAGTCAGAAGGAATGTACATGGTGATGGGGCGCCCGCGGAGGAACATCTTGATGGAAAGTCCTTCTGGAGAGAACGAGAGATGGAAGAGGAGGAAGAATGGCGGCTGGAGGCAGGACGCTCTTCGGGGTTCAGGAAAGAGGGGCCAGCCAGGCAGGCCCTTCCCAAACCCCCCTCCTTTTCTTTTCATTCCCATGAAGGGCTCCCCGAATTCTCTGACCCCACCACGTCAACTGTCATAATTAAGATGTAGTTTCCCCGCCGAGTGCTCCACGGTCCTGCAGAGAGAAGGAAAGGAAAGCAAAGTTGTGGGTGTTTCGAAAGTGGAGGAGGAAACACCTCCTGCAGAACCCATTTTTTTGCCAATGAATCACAAGCGTGTCTTGTCTATATATGGTCCGTGGGCATTCCTGTTTTGCAACTCAAGCTTCTTTGCCAGTGGCCCATTTTGACTTGGGGCGGAAAGGAGGAAGTGGCTGAAATCCTATTTGTGTTAAGTCCCACGGTCTATATTCCGGGGAGTGCAAAGCTCCTTCCGCCAAGGTGATTTTAGGAAGAATGAAATATTTCCTCCTCCGCTGGGCCCTCATGGATCTCAAGCAATCCCTTTCATCACGGAAAACCTTGGGAGCTGCGGGACAGGTGAAGGAAGTCTTTAACAAAAATTGCCACGGCTGGCGATTGGCAGTAATTCAGGCCCTGTGGGAGCTACAGAATAGAAAGAGATGTTTAATTTAAAATAAATAAATAAATAATGCTCTGGGTGACAATGCCATCTGCCGGAGAACTTACAGAAACAGGATTTCAGCCACTATCTGGAGAGCTGCCTTCCTCTCAAACCTCACAGTAGCCCCTAAAAGACTAGGGAGACGGCTCTTTCTCCACCTGGCATGTCCGAGCACCACCTCCATCTAAATCCCTTGTGCTCCGCTCCTAACCTAGGTGGAGCCATACCAGTATCCCATTCATCATCACTGCCCCTGCCCAGAGCTTACCTGGACTCAGGATGGGATCCTTAATTCGGCTGCAAAGAGGTAAAAAAAATCATAATTAAGAACTCTGGTGCACGACAACCAGAAAGACAGACAGACTTCTCAACCGGAGTATTTTACTTTCTGGAATTCCCTCCCCAAGAAGACTTGCTGAGCAGCACCACTGTTTTCATCTCAGCAGCAAGCAAAATCATTCTTATTTTCTCAAGTCTTTTGACCCGTTAATGAATGAACTAATTAATTCTCAATCTCTCCCCCCTTCCCCATATTCATATGCGTCCTTTGTCTCAGTTCCCTCCTCCTCTGCACCAGAAGCGTCTTAAAAACTCGATAATAAATGAATAAACAGCGCTTTGTAAGCTACACAGAGAGCCTGTAGTTTACAAGACCTGAGCAGGACTGTTAAGCATAGGACGTTTCAGAAGTTACTAATTCATTGCATGCCATCAAATCAATACTGACTCAAGGTGATCCTTTCTGAGATTTTCTAAGTAGAGAGGCTTCAGAAGCAATTTCCCCTTCCCTTCTTCTGGGGCTGCCCTGCTGACTCAAGGTGACCCTTTCTGGGATTTTCTAAGTAGAGAGGATTCAGAAGCAGCAGCTGGCCCAAGGCTACCCAGGCTGGGTCTTCTCTCTGGAGGCACAGTGGGGGATTCGAACTCCCAGCTTCGGGCTCCACAGCCAGATCCCTAAACCACTGAGCTTTCCAGCCACTTACTAAATAACTGGGTGCTAATTATCAAGACCCTTTTCGGGTAGAGAATATTGAGAAGTGGTTTCCTTTTCCTTTCTTCTCAGGAGGCAGCTCTGGCACTGCGCAGCTGGCCCAAGGCTACCCAGGCTACTAAATAATCAGGTGCTAATTATCAAGAGCCTTTTCGGGTAGAGACTATTGAGAAGTGGTTTCCCTTTCCTTTCTTTTCAGGGGGCAGCTCTGGCACTGTGCAGCTGGCCCAAGGCTACCCAGGCTGGCTCTAATTGCACCGTGGAGGAACTGAACTCCCAACTTCCAGCTCTGCAGACAGATTAACTAAACCATGGAGCTATCCAGCCAGCCAGCTATCCAGACTTGACGGCACAATATGGCAACCCTGGCAGCCTTTTCTAGGCAAGGCGTGTGTGTGTGTGTGGGAGGGGGGTTAGGAATACTTTAAATAAATAGCACGCGGTTGCGTGTGCAGAACGTGTCTCACTTCTCGAGGCTCCCGGAGCGGTTCAAGAGGTTCGTAGAGGAGGCTGCCTTCTTGGAGAGCTGCTTCTTCACACGAGGGGGTTTGTCGGAAGAGCTGTTTCTGCGCAACCTGGAAAGAGAGAGACCCTTCAGACTCCATTCGGAACGGAGTTGGAATAGAGAGCATGTGGTTTTACCCGTTGGATGCATGGGACCCGATCCCAGATTTTCACACCTCGGCACCATCAGGGGAAGAAGTAACGGGTGAGCCCAGGCCTCCCTCACAGGGCTGTTGTTGGAGGGTAAAATGGAGGGCAGAAGAACGATCTAGGTTGGCCTGAGCTCCTCGGAGGGAGAATTGTTTAAATATTATTTGGAAAAATAAATGAACAGATGCATAAATAAGTGGGAAATCCAGGAGAAGAATATCTCAAAAGTCTGCCTTTGGCTTTGAAGGAAACAAACGGTTTAACAGACTGGAATGCGCCGTCCACGTCAGCTGCTCATGCCATGTATATACAGTAATTCACATATAAAACATTTGGTGCGTTTGAAGGGGATAGGGAAGAAGGCCTTCTCTGTGGCTGCACCCAGACTGTGGAACTCCCTGCCACTGGAAACCAGGCTGGCCCCATCTTGGCTCTCCTTCCGCAAGCAGGCCAAGACCTTTCTCTTCAGGCAAGCTTTCCCTCCATGACTGGATGTCTGAGTGGGGTTTTTAAATGGATGGTTGTGCCTTACTGCTCTGAATGCGCTTTTGGTGTTGTGTTGGTTTACTGCTTCTCAGTGTGGCATCTGTTTTATCTTTTTAAGCTTTTGTATACTTTCTTAGCATTAAGTATTATTTTTTTAGTGATATAAGTTGCCTTGGATCTTTTTCAAGGAGAATGGTGGGGTAAATTTATCTTAAATCATTAATTAATTCATTCCTTCAGTCATTTATTCATTCATTCATTCAAACTGGCATCATAATGAGGCTGTTACACCTCTGGTGTGTTCTATGCTTGCAAGAATACCAAGAGTTGTAAAAATGTGTTTGGGTAGAAAATTATCCAAAATAAGGAAGTTGCTTTCTTAATTTTTTTTTTAAAAGTCACAGTACACTGCATAGGTAGAGAGGGACCCCTAAAATCCTCCAGAAACACTGTGTCTGTCAGGGTAAACCTTAGCAGGCTAGAGAGAGCGAGAGCGAGCAAGGGGGTAAATTAGTATGAGGTAAGTTCTTTGCAGATCTTACTGAAATTAGGCTTAATTCTGACCCATCGAATCTAGATTATTTTCACCCCCTTCTTTTTTTCAGGAGGAATCCCACACTTGATTAGCACAGCACCACCTTTGCGTGCAGAAGTTCTCCAGGTAATAATAATTATCATTGTTATTTAAAAGATTTTTCTCCTCAAAAAGGTCCGAAGGCTGCTGACATTATGAAAAGGACAATATTTAAAAGCTAAAAACAACAAGTATATACACATATTGAACAACAATTAAACAAGTATCATATTAAAAGTGGCAACCATATTGAACATTAAACAAGTATCATATTAAAAGTGGCAAAGTCAATACTAAAAACACATTTAAAAGCAAAAGAGCTTTTAAACAGGGAAAGCTAGGAAAGCTTGCAATCTTATTTCTTTTTTTTTCCTGGATTTCTTCTTTCCAAAGGTGCCTTAAGGCCAGCCAGATGGAGCAGTGCCAGCAGAGATGGGCCGGTTGATTTTAAAAAGTGATTATTTACAGTTCTGAGGTTCCGGAAGCAGTTAACCGCTGCCAACATTTCAATTTAAACAAAAAGAAATTGCTTGCTTTCCAATTATTCAGAAGGGATGAAATCTGTTGCCTTTATTTGCATAAAAATTTAGGGGGGGAAAAAAAACAAAAATCCAGATGGTGCTTGGTTCCATGAGGAACCAAACATCTTGGTAGTGGACCACAGACATGCTGAGGATATAAAAGGAACTGAAACAGGGACACAGAAAAAGGGGAAGCAACGTTCTGTCGTATCACCCCATAATAAAAAAATTTACTTAGTGATGCCTTAGTTAAGGGACGGTGAAAATGTGATCTGGGGCCACAGAGGAGCCCCGTGGCTTTCAAAAGAGGCTCCCGAAATCTAAAACTGGTAATACTGCTGGGCACCCAGGGCAAAATTGCCCCCAGTTATAAAGAAGAGACCTTTATAAATCCTATATTTTCCCCTCGGGGTATTGATGGTGGGTGGGAGCACAAATCTCTCCAAGCTGCCTGCTTCTGTTATGGGGTGAGGTGGGGGAGAAGGAATGCATCACAAGTAACTTGTTTGTAACTAATTGGTCTTATCATGCGCTCCATGATGACTGCAGATGGTGACAGCGCAGAGACATCACCTTGCTGACAAAGGTCCGCATAGTCAAAGCTATGGTTTTTCCAGTAGCAATGTATGGAAGTGGGAGCTGGACCATAAAGAAGGTCGACCGCCGCCGAAGAATTGATGCCTTTGAATTGTGGTGCTTGGGGAGACTCTTGAGAGTCCCCTGGACTGCAAGGAGAACAAACCTGTCCATTCTAAAGGAAATCAACCCTGAGTGCTCACTGGAAGGACAGATCCTGAAGCTGAGGCTCCAATACTTTGGCCATCTCATGAGATGAGAGGACTCCCTGGAAAAGACCCTGATGTTGGGAAAGAAAGAACGCAAGAGGAGAAGGGGACGACAGAGGACGAGATGGATGGACAGGGTCATCGAAGCGACCAACATGAATTTGACCCAACTCTGGGAGGCAGTGGATGACAGGAGGGCCTGGTGTGCTCTGGTCCTTGGGGTCACGAAGAGTTGGACATGATTAAACGACTAAACAACAACAACAATTAGTCTGAAACCCTGGACTCCCCATTTTAGAGAACTAGTGAAAGCTGCTTTTTTCCCCCCGAGGGAGGGCTCTTCCCGGCACTCTAAGGCAACTTTCGGGTGGGCAGTGTGTGTGTGTGGGGGGGGGGGCTTGGCTCTTCCCCGCAGCTGCAAATAGCACATGGTTTTGACCAAACCCATAATTCAGCCAAGAAAGAAGGGGAAGAACAAAGGCCAGCAGGAAAGAAACTCAGAGAGAGAGAACAGGGAAAGAAGGGGCGGGAGATCACGCAAAGACCCACATCGCTTTGTGGGTTTGTTTGTTTTTTTGGTCGGGGGGAATTATTACAGGTCTGAGAGACAGTGTGGCCGAGTGGTTAGAGACTCAAATGGGGATGGGGAGAGCCGGGTTCAATGCCCCACTGGAATAAGAGACTTTTATATACTGTATATAAAAAAATCATCTTCAACTTCTGGGCCCAAAACCAGAGGTTGGAAACATCAAAGTGTTGCTTTTGAGGGGCTTCTGAGAATTCCACCTGAGGGCAGTGCCCTCAGGCGGAAGATGATGGGGGGGGCAAGGAACTGCAGTCATAGACTGGAGAACTAACTGCAGAAGCCCCTCAAGAGCACCACTCTGATGTTTCCAACCTCTGGTTTTGGGCCCAGAAGTTGAAGATTTTATTTTTTGTAATATCATTATATGAAAAAAAAAAAAAAACCCAATTGCATGCTGTCTGAGCCCCCCAACCCAATTTCCTCCCCACACATTTGCTAATTCGGCAACTTCCTTTTTTTTAGTGCAAAAATGCAGATTGTCCCGATATATCTATGCCTGGACACCAAGAGGTGTGAAGTTGGCCTTATTGTTACGCAGAGTGAGGCAGTGCCATCAGGTGGAAGATGATGGGGGGGGGGAAGGAACTGCAGTCATAGACTGGAGAACTAACTGCATGAGTCATGACGTCTGTACTCTCAAAGTAAAGGTCTCTCCCCCCCGCCATGCACGGGGGTGAACAAAACCGAAGTTAAATTCGACTGCTGGTTCAGATGGCTTCTGAACCTGGAATGCAAAGGCGGGTGTGTGTGTGTTTCCCGTCTGGTCCATGGCCTCAGGCAGCAAAATGTCCTGGGTGGGCCTCAAGGTCATGGGATGAAGAAACTTTCTGGCTTGTACTAGAAGAGAAGTAACAACTGTAGGATCCCCATGTCCACGTGGATACTGGAATTGTATGAGAGCATATAAGGAAGGCAGGAGCTTGAGGTCTTGTAACAACAAACCACGATTTGGTGTAGTCTTATAGCAACAAACCATGGTTTGGTTTAGTCTTATAACAACAAACCATGGTTTGGTGTAGTCTTATACCAAGAAAGCAAGCTACCCTAGGTGGGATGTGAGGCCTAAAACAGTCTAGCTGTGATAAGCATCACATCCCACCTTGGGTAGCTGGTCAGAGAACTTAGGAGCAGAGCTTGGAAAACTTTTCTTTTTTGCACTACAGTGCCTAGAATTCTCCAGCCAACATGGTGACTGCCCATGAAAATTTGAGTGATTTTTGACAGTAGTTAACTGGGAAAAGTAACTTTTTCTGAGCCATCCTCAGGACTTCCAGCTCTCTAATCCAAGTAAATGAATCTTATCTGCCACCAACCCCTGTCCCAGAAACAGGCTCAAAGAAAACTCAGACCCTTGGCTTATTTTAAACTGGGGAAGCCTTTGGGTTTCCAGGTGTTTCGGCCTAAAACTCCCATCAGTCATCGTATAGCAGTTTCGTCGTTTAACGAGGCAATCGTTAAGCGAGGCACCACTGTATAATAAATTTTTTAAAAAAAACCGAATACAAATCTTCAAACTCACAGCTCTTTCTTGCTGGTCATCAAATTCTGAACGGTGGGGACCGGGGAGGCTGCAGTACTGCCGTTGCTGCTCCCCGTTTCCGAGACAGGCTCCGGAGACGGTGCTTCCTGGCCCGGCAGCGGCTGAGTTAGAGGCTGGGACGTCCCTGTGCCGCAGACTTTGTCCGCACCATCTTGGGGGGGAGGCTCCCCCACATCCTGAGCTTCATGGGGGCCCGTGCTCGGGAAGCAGCAACTGAGATCCGGCATCTTGGAGTCATCTGGGACATTAGGCATCTCCGAGGGAAGTCTCCGGTCTCCTCCATCGGCTTGAGATCCAAAGGAATTCTTTATATATATATATTTGTGACATTTTAGATCAAAAACAAAACATATAATAAGCATTTAGGCCTCTTAAAAAGCAAGCTTAAAACAAATAAATGCAAATAATATTTACATCTACTGTAGAAACATTTGGGAGTGATTCCCCCTGTAGCTTTTACCCTTACGAAGCCCCATGCCCTTCCGAAATTGCATTGGACTCCTGTGTACATTTTGTCCCTTCCCCTTTATTAATACAAAATTGATAAATGACCCCCATAGATCTCCAAACACACCTCTTTCTATTACATGCGACTTTATCATTAATCGCTATATCCCAGACTTCCTTATACCCATTGCTTAACAAAAGATGATCAAGTGTTTCCTTTTTCTGAGCGATATGCAATCTTGCTACCGCTAACAGGTTTTTTATTTTTCTGGTGGCGCAGTTCCCTCTCTCTTTCCCAAATACTGCTAGAAGCACTATTTTAAGACATCATCATCATAATATTCGTGTGCCATCAAGTCAGTTATGATTTAGGCCTTAAGTCATAAGTCTTAGGGTGACCCTTTCTCAGGTACAGAATACTCAGAGGTGCTTTACCCTTCCTTTCCTCTAGGGGCGCTGTAGGACTGGGCAGCTGGCCCAAGGCCACCCAGGCTGGCTTTTGTCCCGGGAGACCCAGTGGGGAGAATCAAACTATCCAGCCAGCTACTGCAGGGTATACTGCTAAATTTATGTGGCTTCCTTCCTTTATTCCCTTAAAAACCAATTGCCAACCTTTCAATATCTGTTTGCATTCCCACCACATATGAAAATAAGTACCCTATTTCCTGGCACTCTCTCTAACGTCAAGCTGCCACTTGCAGGCAGATGTTCTTGGCTGGCTTATCTTGTGACTCTGGACTGGATTTGTTTTAGTCTTGTATTTTTATTCTCATTGTTACTGTCCGATTTATTGCTATTTCTGTTCTTAGCGACTCCTAACCCACCCCCCAGAGTAGGCGCTTAAGCACGAACTGGGCAGTTAAAAAGTCTAAGAAATAAGTAATAACATCTTAGGATAATCATAATTATTCCAAAGGAATATAATTACTGTATTTTTCCGTGTATAAGACTATACTTTTGTCTAAAATCTTTAGACTAAAAATTGAGAGTAGTCTTATACACGGAAGTAAGCTGAGGAGAGAACAAAAACAAGTGGAGGGGAAAGCAGGGATCAAAGCGATCCTGCAGCACTTTGATCCCTTTCGCCCTACACTTGCTAAGCCCCACTTAGATTTCCTAATTTTGGGTTAGAAAAGGGGGGTGTCTTATACACAGAAAAATACGGTATTCCACAAGGGTTCTTCACCTGGTCCTCCGAAGGCTCGCCACTGGTGAGGTCTTTAGGGCAGCTAGTTCTGGCTACGCTGGAGGGACCTTGATCTGGTTTCCCCTTAATATCTGAGCTTTCATGGGTCCTTTTCAGATGCCCATTTGTGACGCAGTGGCTCTGCTTCTCTGCCAGCACGGCGGATTCCTTTGTCTGAGTCCCAACGCTGACGGTCGCCACCCCTTGAGTCTTTTCAGTGCAGGGCACCCGTTTTTCACTGCTTCCGGACCTCTGGACAGTGCATGAACTGCAATCCAAAACAGATTTTTTTAAAAGTCAGGATTACCACCACGTTTCACGCACGCCTGCCAGCAATTGCTGTTATGTGCCCCTCTTTGCTGGAAATCAGAATAACATCCAGCCTCCAGATGTGTTCTAGAAAGCTGAGGATTTCTTTCCGGATAACGGATTCACGGCATAATATTTGAGCTGCAGTTACGCAACATCTTTCTTGTCTGTGCTAATTGGAAGCTGTTGTTTTAGACTGCAGCTCCGATCATCCACAGCCAGTAACCATGCCAGATGAGGTTGGTAAAAGTTTTGCAGATCAAAACAACAGGAGGGTAACAAGACGAGAAACAACACTATGTATTCACTGGGCTTATCTTTTGCCAAGGTTTATATTTCTGCAGTTCTACCCAAGGTGAGGAATATGCAAACCTGTAGATGCTGGACTACAAAACACATCAGCCTCACATAGCCAAGGGTGAGAGGTGACAGGAGTTGAAATCCAATAACATCTGGAGGACCACACAGCCCCTGATAAGCTTGGAGGGCTCCAGAGAACAATCAGTCAATATCAGTGAGGCCCATAGTGCAGGGTAAGCAAAATGCACCTCCCCATGGGACCAAGGTGGATAAAAATCAAAATTTGTTAAAACCACATTGATTTAAAACACAACTTAAAAAACTGATTTAAACCATCAAAATAAAATCCCAATTTTTAAAAATTTAAACCACGATTCAAATCAATTTGGTTTAAATCAAATCTGCCTTGTATATGGGACCCGGACTTATAACTCTTAAAAATCTCGGACAGGTACCTGGAATCACCAGTGAGGATGGGGGGCAGGATCCAGAGAGGATTATTGCTTTGCGGAAGGATCGTGGGGTCTCTGGAATCTGGTATGCTGGAATTTCCTGAGAAGGAAAAAGACACTGTATTTGCTGCAATGCAGAGACATTTGAACAGCTGTGGTTTTAGAGCCTGTCCTGTCCAGAAAGCCACCTTGGTCATTATTTGCTCATAGTCCTCCCCGTTCAGGTAAGAGACCTCCAGACGCTGCCAAAATTGTAAGAGTCGTTTCTGATGTTTGCATCGAAGTATAAGAATCAGCAGACACTGTTTTAGGTGAATCAATATCTTCTTTTTTGAAAAAAAAATGTGAAGTGGCCATTCTAGGCCATTCACTTGCCCGGTTTGCCTTCGGGTCCCATCAGGGCTGAGTTGTCCTTTGACTTTTCCACCACGCTGCAAAGACACTCAGCAACTCTGTGCTGTTTAAGCAGAAGTATAATAGAAGCAGGGCATGCAGGGTTAAAGTGTTGGGATTTCGATTCTGACCAGCAGGAGCAATGACATTACCTCCCACAACTACCACCACCATAAAAGGAAAGAAAAATAGGTTTGCTGCAAGAATATACTATTGTGACGAATCCCATTTATAACTGGGGATAGTTGGAATGCACAATTAAGATCCGTTTATTTCACAAAAGACCTGCTCCTGGGGGGAGACAAACCCTATTAGAATAGCTTTGTGGCGGCATAAGTGCCTTCATCCCCCCACCCACCCCTTTGGCGAACTGTTGCGGCAAGTCCTTGCACTTCCGAACGGTACCCCTGCTTTTTGGAATACTGCTTCCCTCCAGACCACATCAATGCACAAGGATGAGCCGCAAGAAAAAGTTTTGCCTGGGTCCCCCATGATCTTAGAGATGCCTTCACACATGACTGTCTAGAAAGAGATAGCAGGCAAACAAACATGTGAGGGTTTTCTCCTTGCTGTTACTGCTTCTTCTGTCTTAGAGAGGAGGCACACAAGCAGCAAGAACAAGGCTGGGAAGAAACATTTTCTGGAGACCTCATCCCTACACTATTAGAAGACAAAAATCCTTATTTCCCTGTAGAGTTGCTAAAATTTTTGTGGCTCTTCAGTCCTCCAAGATAACTGAACTGCCTTACTTTCTTTAAATATTTTGTGTTTTTTATTCCCTACTCAAATGTTTTTCACGAACCTCTAAGTGAGGAAAGGAAAGGGACTGGGGATTCCACATGTTGGCAAAGGCCCATTCTGGGTAGGCATTTCCGACAGGAGAGGCTGCGCTGATACCTGGGTGATCTATCCCAGGTTTTTGTCTAAACTTTAAGCGCGTGTTGAACTTGTTTGGGGGGAATCGGGTTCAGCAGCTCCTGTAAAGTTCGGACCAAAACCCACTGGAACATCCAACTCGTTCTTATCCTGACCTTTTTCCAACCCCGACCCTAGGCTGCTCCTCTCAGACATCCAGCCTTCCAGAGCTTCTCGGGAGCCTCACCTTCAAGCAGCTGCTGCCTGAGCAGAGGGATCTGCCGGTCGTAGAAGTTCAGCCGTCGTAGGGCATCGGCCAATGCCGACTTCACCAGGGTCATCTCCTCTTCCTGGCTCCGCAGTCTGGAGTCAAGGTCAGCGAGCCAGTCAGGATGGTGCAGGATACTGTTCGTACCCAAGAGGTTCTCGCCTGGCAAAGAGGAGACAGCCGAGTCGTGATCAGAAGCAAAAAATCAGGGTCCTTTTTGATGACACATGCTCTGGTTATATCCAGACGCAGAAGATCCATATGTGGGTAAAAGAAAAGTGAGAATTCCCGGCCACAGGGCGAAAAGCTATAAACTGCCCAGAATAGACCTTTGGTCTAGATGGGTGGAATAGAAATCAATCAATCAATCAATCTATCAAACAACCAAACAAACAAATAAATTCATGACACATGCTCTGGTTATATCCAGACTCAGAAGATCGGCCACAGGGCGAAAAGCTATAAACCGCCCAGAATAGACCTTTGGTCTAGATGGGTGGAATAGAAATCAATCAATCAATCAATCTATCAAACAACCAAACAAACAAATAAATAAATAAATTCAAGAGAAAATTGGATAGCAGATCTTTTGTGATTCTATTTATTATTTATTTAAAATATGTTTGTGGTTTTTTTAAATAATCTTGCTGGTCTGAGAAAGTGATCCTTTGCGTCAAGGGTTATAGCTGCCTTTTAATATCAACCCCATTCTTACAGATTAGTTGTGTCCTGATTCAGATTAGTGCTTTCTTTTTTTAAAAAAAAAACGGAGGTGTCCTGTGGTTTTTAGCGTCAAGGTTTTGCATCTCAAATACATTCTCTGTCCCTCTATTTTGTAACCCTGCAATGCCCCTGAAAAAGTACTTTGAAAAGGTATTTAATGAATAATTTAAAAATAAATAAATAAACCAGGGAGGTTGGCAACTCTCTGGGTCTGAGTTCGAGCCTTTGGCACCAAATCCCGAATCCTAAGCCCCCAAACCTGAGGCTCTATTAAAAACAAGCTTTCCCCCCCCCAGAAGAAAAGGGAAGGGTGAGTGGGTGGCAAGATGAGTCCAAATCATAGAGGAGAAGAAAACAACAACAACAACAACCCAGTCGAGTCACCAGTGCGATTTCTGCCTGACTAGACAGTGAGTCTAGCGCCTTAAATAAATACAACTAGCTGCCAGAGAACTAGAAGTAATACAGTGGCTAGATTCTCTCTTATTATCTGCCCAATGCTTCGAAAAGATTCGTGCTTCACACGTGTGCACGGAAATCTGCTTCTAAAACTATTATTTTTACTGGAACGGCGTCAATACGTTCGCTCACGCCTCGCCTTCCAAAAAGGGGGGAAGAGTTCTGTGTAGCTCAGAACTCTGCCTGTCAAAAACACAAACAGGAAAAAAAAGAACACTTTGCCAGAAACTGCAAGACTCGAAGTATATAATTAACACAGCAGGGGGAAGATTTTAAGATTTCCTCGTCCAGACCTGTCCCAATGGAGGGGGGGGGGTTAGCACACTTTCTCGAGGGAGGCGGCCAGCGGGAGAAAGGAGACCAAAGTTTCCTTGGTCTAAAAACAATGGCCTCTGATTTCCCCGCCTCAGGCCTGGCGCCCAGCTCTCGCCTCATGCCCAGCCGCCCTTGTTTGTCCTGGCACCAGAAACGGTGGCCGTCGGGAGGAAACTGTTCCCGCCTCAGGCATCTGTGACGCCACATAGCCCGGGGCCCCTGACCACCCCTGACAGCAAATCCCGCTCTCCCTCGGGTGCTCTGAGGATGTGAGAAGAATGTGGAGCGCATGGGGTGTTTGTGTGTGTGCATGCGCAAGTTCACATAACCCAGGTCCAGAGCTCTCCTCAGTGTCATTTCCGTAATCAAGGTATCGGTCATATTGGGAGAAAAACAGGCTTTCCTCCCCCTTCCCGTAAATCCCTTTTACGGGTAAAACTGGGGGTTCTCGGACTTGAGGTTACAAGGGGCAGAAATTTTCCATGTATGCTCATCAGAACACCCTAAACAGCGACGTCAAAAAATAAATGTACTAAAGCCTCTTTAAAACACATCATTAGACAACCATCTGTCAGGTGTATTTATTATTGTTTCCAACCTTGCAGGCTGCCTATAGTTTGTTTGGCTCAGAGGGACCTTTCTGGACTAGGGGGACCGTCAATCTATCTGGCGCTAACCAATCGTTCTTTCCTGAATTCAAAGAGAGACCCGCCTCCCTGCCAAGTCTTCCTTTCCCTCTCTTTAGTCTGTTGGAAGTCGTGGTTGTTAGTTGGCTGTGGTTCTCTTCGCAACTGTAAGTAATGAAACATCTTTATTCTTTCTCTTATAATTGTCTCAGAGTGGGTAACTGAGACTGAAGGTGCCAGCTAATGAGAAAGGGGTGGACTATCTGGGGAACATGAAGCTATGCTGTATCTCTGTACTTTTGCTGCATAGCAAAAAGGAACTGAACCAAAAAATTCAAAACTCAATGACAATACAGTGGCGCTTTGCTTGACGATTACCTCGTTAAACGACGAAACCGCTTTACGATAAAGTGTTTGTGATCGCTATTGCGATCACAAAACGATGTTACTATGGGGAAAATTTGCTTAACGATGATCGGTTCCCTGCTTTGGGAACCGATTTTTCACTAGACGACTATTTTAAAACAGCTGATCGCTGGCTCTAAAATGGCCGCCTGCTGTGCTTTAGGACGGATTCCTTGCTTTACAGGCACTGGAAAATGGTCGCCCTATGGAGGATCTTCATAAAACAAGCAGGTATGTCACCCATTGGAATGCATTGAAACGGTTTTCAATGCATTTCAATTGGTTTTTTAATTTCGCTTGATGAGGATTTTGCTTAACAGCGATTTGAACGGAACGAATTATCCTCGTCAAGCGAGGCACCTCTGTACTTTCATTTGGATTCTTGCACTGAGCAGAGGGTTGGGATTCTTGTACTGAGCAAATGGTTGGACTTGGTGGCCTTACAGGCCCCATCCAACATCTTTATTCTCTGATCACTACAGGTAGCCTTACGGGCCCCTTCCAACATCTTTATTCTCTGATCACTACAGAGTGGCTGCTCGTCCCACACCAGTGGAAGATGCTGTATTAGCATCCCTCTGCTTGGAACTGGGATTTTCCCTGATGACCCACTACTTCCTGGCACAGAAGCATTCAATATTCTCATTTCCATTCTCTGTGTCTTGGTTCTTGGCTTTTTTTTTTTCCTTCCGGGGTATTTTGGTTTCCTATCACAACTTCCTGGTTCCTGGGTCCCTGAGCCGGCTGACTGTAAATCTGTCCTTTACGAGCGGATTCCTTACCAGCCGAGATAAAATCTTCTGAAGATCTTCTGAAACACCACCCACCCCGAGCCCTGAATTGGGGTGGGAGGTGTATGGAAGATTTAAGATACCCAGAGATGCTCACCCTGCAGCTCTCTTTGCAGGAAATACAGAAAACATGGTAGGAGAACTCGTTTAGTAAGTAACTGCAAAATAAAATAAAATAAAAAGAGGAAAAGCAAAGACACCAATCCTGGCTTAATAAATCATTTCCCAGGTTTAAATTATAGCTTGTGAATCCCAGCTTGTTGGGAAGCCACAAACCATCATGTGGACACAACAGGAAGCTAGGTTTAACCAGAGATTCCTGGTTTGTTTGCCCGCTTACCAAAAGGAACAAAACTCAGATGATCATTCTCTCTGTTCGTTTCCGGGCTCAATTCAAGGTGCTGGTTCTTACCTATCAAAAACCCTAAATGGTTTAGGACCCCCGATACCTGCTCGAACGTCTCTCCTACAAAAACAGCTACCCATTCCTTGCACTTGTGATTGTTAAACACGGTAACACCTAAGGAGGCCTAAAAAGGGACCCCCAGAAACCAAGAGTTTTCAACTGTGGCCCTATTCTGATGGAATAAACTCCCAGCCGAGGTTCGCCAGTCGCCCTTCCTCCCAGTTTTTAAGAAGCGAAGAAAAACAGCTGCTTTTTATTAATGCATGTTACTCAATGCCCAACTGTGGTTTAAATTTGTCTCAAGTTAGTAAATCTTTGCGAGTCATGTGGTCCTTTTCTTGTTTATTGATGTTGATGCTTATAATTGGTATTGTTCTATTTTGTGGATTATTTACGTGGGCTGCCAACTATCCAGAGAGTGTGTATGGTGCTTTAAGTTGAATGAATAAACAAAACAAAGCAAAATAAAATAAAAGAAGGCCTGCAAGTAAAGACCCAAATATGATTAGGGGTGTGCTCTTTTGATTTTTGATTCAGCCCACAAACACACACTTACAAACACCTTCATTTTGCAAGATCTAGCTCTGAGGCTGCATGGCCTTCTCCGGCCTTAGCTATCTGTTAACGTAAAAATAAATAAATACATCCTGGGAGTTTTAGTCTTGATGACTGTTATTAGTGTCTACAAGAAGGTATCTCTGAAATACCGTATTTTTTTTGTTTATAAGACTATACTTTTGTCTAAAATCTTTAGACTAAAAATTGAGGGTCATCTTATACACGGAAGCTGAAGAGACAAAGAAACAAGTGGAGGGGAAAGTAGGGATCAAAGTGATCCTGTAGGGCTTTGATCCCTGCATTCCCCTCCACTTGCTAAGCCTTAGCAAAAGGAAAGCAGGGATCAAAGCACTACAGGACGGCTTTGATCCCTGCTCTCCCCTCTACTTACTAAATCCCATGGGGCTTAACAAAAGGAGGAGGGAAAGGATCAAAGCAATCCCATGGCTGTATAAGGGGGGAAGGGATCAAAATGATTGTGCAGTCATGGGTTTACTTTGATCTCTTTCCCCCTCCTTTTGCTAAGCCCTGCAGGGCTTAGCACGAAGGGAGAAAGCAGGGATCAAAGCAATCCTGCAGTGATTTGATCCCTTTCCCGCTACACTTGCTAAGCCCCACTTAGATTTCTCAATTTTGGGTTAGAAAAGTGCGGAGCGTCTTATACATGGGGGGGTCTTATACACGAAAAAATACGGTAACTAAAATTCAGAGGAAGCACCATAGCAGCTGCCTTTTTTAATGTTAACAAAAGAGAAGGCCATGCAGCCTCGGAGCTAGGCCCTGCTCCAGGGTGAGCGAAACAGTGGTGTCTATTCATGCATGTTTCTGTGTTGAAACTCTTGAAACTGCAGAATATTTGGAGAATTCTGGGGCTCATGG